GTCTTGCCTTGTATTTTTTGCAGACAACGGAGGACGATATGTTGCGTTACAGCTGCAAAGCATCCATCTGTAGAAGAACAAGCAAGGAAGATAAGGGAAGGTAATGACAATGGAAATAAAGCGGTTGCTTTTGAGCGAAGACAACAAGTTTGAATTTGTCAATAGTGTAGCAGCTGAAGAAACATAGTACATAGAAGGAAATAAAGACAAATATGGAGGTACCAGAAGCCATCTTTCATGTTCTGAGCAACCATCTCGGGTTTGATCGTCCGAGGCTTATGTAGAATCTGATCCTTTCAAACCTTGTATTTGAAGAAAGAATTCACATGAGAAATTAAAAAACGAATGTAATTCATCAAAAATAAACGAAATATGAGAATGAAAATAATAGATTCATGACTAATGAATCCATCAATTGAACACACAAATCTCCAAGTTCATTGTTTTTCCTCGGATCTTCTCTGATATTTTTAGTGGTCAAAGAAACAATGATAATATTTGTACCTCTGATCGTAGAGAAACAACTCTCTTTTCTCGACCAACACCACCAAAACTTTCTCTTGCGTTTCCTTGTAACCATCCAATTTATTGAAAAACAAATCCGATTTTTTTCCTCCCGTTAAAGATTACCTGAATAAAAGAACAAAAACAAATTGCTCTAGCATATAAGAAGCAAGGGAATGATTTTTTGTTGTTGTTGGACTTCTCAACCGCCATGAGTCACGATTTCTTCCTCTTTCTCATATACCTGGAATTTTAGATTATACCAAAGCTGCTAAATAGGAGAATATGGAAAAGGGATTATAACCAAAGTTTGCTACCTTACCATAATTTTCGCCGATTGGGAATCCCATTTCAACTGCATTATCATATTCAATCCGAATTTTCCAGAGCTTTAAACCGATGATCTCCATATATGGATGATGTTCAATCACCAAAACAAAACCACCAAAAAAACCTAAAATATTTATGGATGATGTGTACTTAAAACATTAATGCTGAAGTGTATTATTCAAATGTTGTGATTGGTTTTTAAATATGTTGATGTGCTAGTTCGAAAAGGCTTAAAAAAGATGATGGGTCCTTCCATGGAGAGGCACTTGTGTCTTTATAGTATTGATTTTATTTTGGTTAAAGAAAATTACAATATTAGAATATCACATTAAAAATTGGTGTATAAATAGAGTTAATAGATGTTAGAAGATATCATAGATATTAGAGATTCTCTCCATAATTTAATTTTCTAAAATAATATATTGAATGAGTAATTTAAAACTATACATACCAAAATAATATGTACAATTATATGTATATATCTAATATGATACTTTTATTTTTAAAACCGTAATATGTTATTTTCATTTTCAATATCAGATGCTCAATATCTTTAGTTTCGTTAAAATTTTATATATTTGTTTAGATTCTAAAAACATAACTAACAGGATTTTTTTACATAATTGTTTAGTTTTTTTAAACGTAATTCAACATTATTA